ACATATTATAAAATTTTTGAAATCAAAATATGTAAAAAAACTAATCTTTATCATAAACTCTTAATGTTTGCCGCGATACCGAGTACTACTTATGCGTATTAGTGAATTGCGGAGCTGTTTTACTTATTGCTCCTTTGAAGCCGAGTCGTTAAAGGCAAACTCTATGGCTCATGAGATTGCGAAGAGTGTTACTCGTAAGGGTAGCTTTCAGTTGTACCTTGGTCTCAGAGGCCCTGCATGGCTACACGAAAGAATTCGATGTGATGCTTCTTTTTCTTAACATCTTTTTGGCCCTCGTCATTGGGTATTTGATGTTTTTGCTCTGTTTTGGTTTTGTTCCATCAACACTATGACGCTTTATTTAATATCATTCAGACGTTTGAAAAAAAACTCTTAATGTTTTTATTACTCTCAAATGAAGTACAATTTAAATGAATATATTTCTTATTGTAATTTTGTATTTACAACAATTTCTTATATGTACTACTTTTAATCATTTATTTACTTATTTTTCGTTTTTTTATTTAATTCAAATTTTAAGTAGTTATAAGTAACAATAAATATATATACACATGAATTAATTGAATATTTTAAATAAAAATTATTGTTAGAAAAATATTTTGCTTATGTGGACACCTTAGATAGAAAAAAAACTCCCTAATTATATAATATATTTTTTCTTTAACTAATAATCTAACTTTTTTTTTGTCACACTCTAATAATCTAACCCTATTACTTTTAAATAAAAATAAAAATCTAACCCTATTATATGATTGAGAATTTTTCTCTTAAATCTTCAACTGCCTTTTACGTTCAAGTAAGTGTAGGTTATGTTTTTGTTTTGTCAATGATTTTTTAAAAAAATAATTTTTAGAGTGTGTAATTGAGAATTGTTATGAAATTCGTAATTTGAATTGTATTATTTTGCATAACTAAGTGTTTTATAATCATGAATATTTTACTTAGACCTTATGAACGAATTCATACAGTTAGGCAATTACTATCCACCTGGATATAAATTTTTGAACGATTTTTTAGTTTGTTTTATTGAGAAAATTGTGTTCGAAATTATTACAATAAGACAATCGTAAAAAACAATTCAGAGTATGAAAGATCGTAGAGTAATTTTGTAGAATAATTTATATTTAATTAAAATTTTTAATATTTTTAATATTTTTTATTATAAATTGACCTTGGTAAAAAATATTTCTGGATTCGTCACTGAATGTGCTAAAACGCTTTAAATTTTCTTTCAGTCAAATTTGTTTTTGTAAACATAATGATTAACCATTTTAATTTTCATTAAGAATGGAGATTTTTCAGGTAAAAATTATGTAGGACCAATTTTAATCATAAATCAATTAAGGCTTCATGGGCCATACAATTGACATGATTAAGTTGGATTATGTGAATAACAAATGGATCATTAGGCTCATAGAAAAGCCATAACAAAGTTTAAAACCTTGATAGTGTAATATAGAAAAGATATATCAAACCAAACTAAATTTAAAATCATATATAGTTTTGGGATTGAGTTTGAGATTTCGTAAAAATTTTATAAGCCCAAAAGCTTATTAATCTTTATGCTAAATTAATCAAATATGTGATAATCATATGATTAAAAAATTACAAAATATCTTCTCAACTTTGACTTTTAAAAACGTGGCATTAAAACAATTGTCATTAACTTGATGATTTGACACTTGATCTCTCTCTTAATGTGGGAATACGTTTTTTTTTTACTATGGCTTAAAGAGAAATCATGAAACGGAGATGATTTGAAATCTTTCATGATTTGAGCATTTGATTATATTAGTCAAATATGGTTTTAATGCTCTTGATTTCTCACGTGTCTTGACTAGATGAGAATGCTATATATATATACTATCAGCTCTCACTACACAAGATACTTGCACACATCATAATACTACAAAAAATCTTTAGCAATCTCTCTTTTTCTTATCTCTAAAATAAGTGTCTCGAGAGTATTTTGTAGTTTTTTAGTTAGTACATTCTATAGTCGAATATCGTGACTATAGTCTAACACAGTTTTATCCTGGGATTCAGAATCTCAAAAATCTATCATATTACGGGAGATTTTATGAATTAAAGAGAGAGATCATATCTCACTTTGTGTATTTTCTAAAAATCG